GTGAGCTCCCCCTCCAAGAGCGTGGATCTGCTCACGGTGTTGACCCACATACTGGGCCAGTCTGTACCACGGGGCGGCGGGCAGGGGGAGTTTATATGTGGCAAATGCGTGTGCCTGCTAGAACGCGTGTTCAAGTTTGACACGGTCATAGCCAGGGTGAGGGTGCTTTCGTCTGAGCGCCTTCAGAAGCTGACGCAGGAGAGGGATAAAATCAGACAGTGGGTGCGCCAAAACTACTGCCATAGACATCTGCAGGACTTTCAGAGCAGGAGCAGCACCAGCGAGGACGAAGGAGAGGTGGAGAAGGAAGGCTACAGGGAGATGCTCAAGGAGAATATGGCGCTCTCAGAGTATGAGTGCTGGTCAGAGAAGTGGGACACGTGTCCGTATTTTATCAGAACGGGGAAAAGATGCAGAAAAGGGAAGGGGTGCGAAGGTTGCGATTCCTTACGGGTGTCCGACTCTGATTACGAGTCAGTTTGTGGGGTTCCTCGCCACATGCCTTTCCAGCCCTTCTCCCCATTGTCCCAGGATAGATCCCAGAGCATGCCCCTCCACTGGCACAGGGTGCCATCCGTCAACTCCAGCCCAGCCTCCCTGGCAGGGTCCAGTCTCTCGTTACGAGCTCCTTCCCACACGGAGTCCATTCAGTCTCTTGATTCTCTGGACGGGAATGACCCCTTTGATTCAGCAAGTGATCAGTCAGTCAACTTCATGCTGAGAGAGCTGAGAAGTATTGGAGGGAAGCCGGTCAGTTCGCCATCAGGAAGTAAAATCCCCGTTCTGGGCAAAAGGGATGGGAGGTACCTGGGAAAAATCGAGGAGACTGCATCACCCACAGTGACCAGGGTGCTGAACTTTAGGGATGTGGAGAACGGAGGGGATGAAATGGATGAAGAAAATGGAGATGTCCTAACATTGCTGAGGGACGAGTTCATGCCTCTTCACCGAGAGGTGAGTGTGCTGTAGAAGATCATGCAGGCCTGGATGAACTTTGAGCAGTTGCCATGTGTGCTGCTAGCTGTAAATATTGACCGTGTGCTGCAATAGTTTATCCAGGAACAGCTGCAGCTTGTCCAAACGTCCAACATGATTAGAATTACACGCGTTACTTTTCTTTGTGTATTGCATAATACTGTGAGGCTTTTTTATTTTATTTTAGAAGACTGCTGCTAGAGTTCATCATGGTATCCGGCACCTAAAAGGCCAACTTGACCAAGCTGCATCCCGCATCAGGACCCTGGAGGCTGAGCTGAAACATGGGAGAAGCAAACAAGTGGAAGTCAACGGATCACAAGACTGGGCCCCTGTAAGCTTTCAGTTTGTTCTTTAG